AACTTAAATCTGATAGTTTTTCATTGATATTTTTGGGCGGTCTGGATAATTTGCCCACTGATGATAATGGGATATCAAAACCTCTCACTATTATTGTATTAAAGCTTATCTCTCCTGAGATTTAATAGTGATTATAGTATAAAATTATGTGCTCTGATGTTACATGTATATGAATTTACAATCATTATAGCTTCTTGGCTTCTTGATGAATTGATCCCATTTCTTCTTACAATTTTTGTCTTAAAGTCTATTTTGTCAGGTGTAAGTATAGCTACTTCTCCTTGCTTTAGGTTTCTGTTTGCTTGAAACATCACTTTCCATGTATCCACTTTGTGTATGTATGTCTTTACTTGTGAAGTGAGTGTTTTATAGACACCATATTTTTGGGTCTTGATTTTTATTCTACTTAGCCAATCTGTATTTAATTGGAGAACTTACATTCAAGATTATTATTGAAAGGTAAGCACTTACTCTTTCATTTTGATTATTTTATTCTAGTTTGAATATTTTTCTTTTCTCTCTTGTCTTTGAGGTTTGATAGTTTATTGATAATATTTGAACCTTTTCTTTTTTGTGTATCTACTCTTCTAGTGGAATTTTTTTCTTTTTTCTTTTTCTTCTAGTGGAATTTATATTTTCACATGCTGTCATGATGGTAGTTACTGTTCTTTCACATCTCAATTTAGGAGTCCCTTAATTATCTTTTGCCAGGCTATTCTAGTCATAATGAATTACCTCAATTTTTGGTTATCTTGGAAGGTCTCTATTTCTAAAAGAAAGCTTTGGTAATATAGTGATATAGTAATGTTGGCGGTTATTTTCTTTCAGGACACAGAATGCATTATTCTATTTTTTTTCTGGGTTTCTACTGAGAAATGTGCCATTATTCTAGTGGAGTTGCCTCTAAATGTGACTTGGCACTTTCCATAGATTTAAAAGATTTTTCTTTGTCTTCTACATTTGACAACTTGACAATTACAATATACTGTGGTGAAAATCATTTTTTGTTATGTCTTTTGTGATTCTATAAGCCTCCTACACATGGATGTCCATGTCTTCCCCAAGATTAGGAAATTTTGTGCTTATTTTATTTTAGTGAATAAGTTTTCTATGATCTTACCTTTTATCTCCTCATCTTTAGATATTCCAGGCATGAGGATGTTTATTTCATGGTGTCCCAAAGATTTTGAATGGCCTCTTCATTCTTTCTACTGCATTTTTTGGTCTATTGAAGATATTTTAAAAGACCTGCCTTCAAGCTCAGATATTCTTTTCTTTACTTGACTTATTGTAGAGGAGTTGTGTTAAAAGTATTAACTTTATTTTTTATTAGTACATACTTGCAGTACATGCAATTTACAATCAACTTGGAGTGGCTACATGTACTTAATACAGTTTGATTCTTTTTAAATCCTCTTTTCTTCCTGCCTCCCTCCTTCCTACTCTAAATCGCCTTTCCCTGTTTTCATTTTTGATGATATTATTAATCCTACTTTATGTTTGTGATATAAAATATTTACATTCATTGAGATTATTAGGTTCCTATACATGGCATATCTTTAATTTACTTATTATCCTCCCACCTCCTCTCATCCTGGGTCTCCAGGACCCCTTCCCACCTTTTTAGGTGTCTTCCCCAAAGATCTGAAGACCTCATACTACAGTGATATGTGCATTCCAATATTTATAGCAGCACAATTCATAATACCTAAATCCTAGGAGTAGCTGGTATACCCATCAACAGTAGATTGGATAAAGAAAATGTGGTATTTATTCATAATGGAATATTCCTCAGCTATCAAGAAGGACAAAATGGAGATATTTGTATGAAAATGGATGCACCTGGAAAATATATTGTTGAGTGAATTAAATCAGACACACAAGCTTACATACTGTATGGTATCTCTCATTTGATTAAGGCAGAGTACGAAGAGCATAATAAAGGATAGCTAGAAAGAGAAAAAGGGATAGATCTGTTGTTGAGCTTTTCAAGTGACTTTTTTATGTGATTTACTGAACTTATTGAGCTCTGGACTTCTAAGATTTATATTTAATCTATTTTCAAAATCTGTCTCTTTGCTAAATTTTTCATTTATGTCATTCACTGTCTTCTCATTTTTTTTAACTGTATATGTATTTCCTTGGATCTCATTGAGCTATAATCATTCTTTTGAATTATTTATCAAGCATTTCATCCCTTTTGGGTTTTTTTGAAATCTTTTGCTAGTGTGTTGTGATCTTTTGAAGGAGTCACTTTACCTCGTTTTTTTTTTTTTTTTTTTTTTTTGTTTTTTTTTTTTAATTTTTCCTG